CATTTCACAGTTACACACAATGTAAAAGGTGGAGGTGGGTGGGGGGGGGCACATTTTCCAAATAAGGATAAATTAGAAAAATATAGGAAATGCAGGAGGACTTTTCTTAGAAAAGTTGTGTGCCTCAGTTGGTTCTCTTGCCTCAGAGTCAGAAGGTTGTGAGTTCAAACCGAACATTGGGACTTTGAACTCAGTATACACTGAAGCTGACACGTCAATGCATTGACGTGCGCTGTGTTGTTGGAACTGTCGTCCTTTGGATGAAATTTGCCTGTTCAGGTGGACGGTAAAGATCCCAAGATCCTATTTGAAAAGAGAAGGGAGTTTCTCCCAGTATCCTGGCGTACCATTCTCAGGATTCAATTGGACATTCGTTTCCTGGCTGTTTGTGGGGCATTGCAGCGTGCAAATTGGCTGCTGCATTCACCTACAAAATCTAGTCACTATATTCCACAGTAAGCCTGTAAAGTGCCTTGAATTGTCCTCCTGGTGTGAGAGGTGCTATATCAAATAAGCGGATTATTATTTGAACAGGTATCCAAACAGGAGTGGAACAAGACTCTTAAATGGTTCAAAAAAGATAATTGGACAAGTTCTCTAAAAGTATCCGGGTGTTATAAGGTTTAGAAAAAAGATGCATCAAAATAATTTCGTGCAAAGTTGGATGAGTAGATGCAGTAAAAGTCTAAAATGCCTAAAATGACCACGACGCTGTATCACAGGATGAAATCAAAATACTGTGTAGCAACAGCATCTGGGATCACGTGGTACCGTCTATATTCAGCTCCTGTCAACCACATCCTGATTGTCTTCTCATTCTTCAACTAATATTTTGTGTGATTAACTGTACTCTGTAATAGAACAATCTTTCACCACGAGGCTAAATGATGGCGTGGCTCAGTCGGAGGTAAGAAGCCACTTCACCATCATTCTGTTTTAGAACGGAATCGGAACACTGAACTGCATGACTTCCTCTTAACACAAAACTTTTAGACTATTTTGCGTTGAATGTTGACAAAACACAGGCCTTCCTACTTGGCTCTCATCAGTCACTTCTTGCCTCGGGTGCTGACAGTGTGCACATCCAATGTTTCTATCTCAGAGCCGTTGCAGAACCTCGGTGTCTTGTTTGACTCAGAAATGTCCTTTAAAGCCCACATCTGTGCTCTGACCCACTCAGAGTTTCCAAATCTCTGGGGAAACATTGCCTAGACACACTCCTCGGGCTGCCAAGAGCCTCATCCATGCATTCATCATGTCCAGGCTTGACAATTCCAAACTCTACTTGCCAGACTACCCAATTCTTCCCTACACAGGTTACAGACTATCCAGAACTCTACTGCCTGTTTGCTTTCTCCTAAGCAGATTGAGTTCAAGCTCTTCATTACTGCAGTGCCAGAGGGAGGCAAGGGTAGCTCAGGCATCAAGGTTCAGGTGTAAAAATTTGGGCCCATGAGAATCATGCCAGCAGCTACGAAGTGAACAAATAAGATATCTACCAAAAGAAGCATGATTTAATAACAGCTTTTAAGAGAGACCTGGATAGGTATCTGGGGAAGACAGGTTTGCGGGGTTATAGGAAGAAAGCTGGTGATTGGGGTTAGTGAAAGTGACGCTCTGTCAAAGAGCCGCACAGACTCGATGAGCCGAATGGCCTCCTTCTGTGCCGTAACGTTCTATGAATCTATGAAAACACAGAAACCAAAGCCACCATTCATTCACCCATCGCATCTGTGCCACAGTTTCAAAGTCGCTCATTTCAGTAATCCTACTCTCAAGGCATCCACCTGAAAAACAGGCCATTGATTTGCATTTAATTTACGTTTAAATAATTTGCTTTTTGTATAAAATTAACATCAAAGTGCTTTACTGAAGAATACTGAAATGAAAGGGAGTGTTATATGAGCAAACTCGGCAGCAACAACTCAATCAACACTGAGATCGGGAGCCAATTGGGGTAAGTTCGAGTGAGGAGGGAAATATAAAGCAGAATAAATCGTGAAAAAAAGAATCCACATCTATTTGAAATAGGAACAGAAGGGCAGTCCTATTATATTCACCTGAGAGGTTTGTATACAATATAGAATGATTTGGGAGGCAAATGTAGTGGTCAATGCGAAATGTCCCACAAGTGAGTTTCCCACAACAGATGGGCCCCGTGTACAGCACATGAACTGCTTCAGGAAAGACGGGCAACGGAAAAAGTTATAAAAGAAATCGTTTTAATTCTATTCATCTGGATAACGATAATCTGTATTCAGGGTACAGCTCTAGAGACCAAACACCATTCCTCACACAATTTAAGCCCTTTCTTTTCAAGGGCAAATTCTTTCTGGGAAGGATTGATGTGTGTTAGTGAGCCTGAGGCAGCACTGCGATTCTGAGGCTCATCGCTTCACAAATCCAATTCATAAAAACACCCCATAAATAGACATATGTGACAACTTCATCTGTGTGCTAATGTCTGTAATTATTTCTACAAAGGGACCATACAACTCCAGTGATAATATTAAAACTTTTTCAGTAGCTCTCCTACCCAACGGTTCAGTATGTGGATCGTTGCTTGCATTGGTCAACCAGACACAGCCTACAGTACTTTCTGCTTCCAGTCTGCGAGGTCGCCAGCGTCGGAGAATGTCACAGCACAGACTCTGGAGCCCATGAGTTATACACTGCTCAACCTGGAGCGCTGCCTCACGCTTTGCAGCATTAACTAAACTCCGCAGACAATATTTCTGCATGTTCGGTTGTCTGTCCAGATCGCTTTGCGTGTTGTGCCCGTCTTCAGATCTTTCTGATGTAGAGCATTTCACATCCCTCGCTGTGAAGAAATGTTCCTTGACCTCAGCTCTAAGGGTTTGGGATCTGATTTGAAGGCAATGCCTCATTGAAATGGATCTTTCTATCAAAGGGAATAGTCATCCACTTTCTAACCTTTGAATTATTTTCATTATTTTAAATAACTCAAATCACCATTTAACCTCCTCAGCTCCGAGGAATCGGACCCCAGTCTATCCAGCCTCATAGAATCATAGAATATTACAACAACAACTTGCACTTATATAGTGCTCTCTGCGCAGGGTAGCGTCTCAGAGCGCTTAACAGTGGCGGAGCCTGACTCCGAATCGGGGGGAGGTGGCCGTAAGCCCGGTCGCACAGGAAAGTTTTCTGGCGGGACTTGAAAGAAGGGAGAGAGGGGGCAAGGCGGAGGGATTGACGAAGAGCGTTCAAGAGTTTTATGGTGTAGTGGCTAAAAGCACAACCTTTATTATTATTAATATTATTATTTATTAATATTGCAGCACAGCATAAAACTGGAAAAGCTCCTCCTTACTTTCATTCCATTACGTTCCAGACTTTTTGTAATGAACGTCAGCATCCATTTGGGTTATTAAGTGCTTTCTGGACCTGCTAATGAAGCTTTACGTGATCTATGAACTTGAACCGTTACATCTTTGTCCATCTCTCCTTCTTGGTGGATGTCCATTTACATCCTCCCAATCTCAAGCATGATACCACAACAACAACAACAAGATTGCATTTATAGAGCGCCTTTCACGTCGGGAGGACGTCCTGAGGCGCTGGACAGTTGGGTCAGGACCCGAGCAGTGGGGGAAATGGTCAGGGTGAGGGGAGGGAAGGGAGGGAGCGAGGAGGGGGTAGAGAGGCGAGAGGGGAGCTGAAGGCTCGGTCAAAGAGATGATGATGGGTTTCAGGGCTGACCAACAATCCCAAACTACGGATCTACTTCACTAAGTCTAAAACCCATAAGTGTTTCAGGAATGTAGACAAAGGAAAGAAGCCGAATGGATCGTCGCTGCCATTGACCAGGATAATCAGATTGAACTAACTGGTGTAACGGGCTTCACACAGTATTAACCCGGAGCTACCAAAGTCACATTGGCAGATCCTAAATTTCGGGGTCACTGATGGCGCAATCTTTCATTTGTCACATAAAACACTATGGAGCTGCCGGGCAGCCCGGGCTGATGGGGGTGGGGGGGGAAGACAACCCCATTATAACGGTGACTTGGGGGTTGGAGAACATCGGAGTGTTGGGACACGATGGGATTTACAGGCGATGACGAGGAGTCTTCAGGTCAATCCATCCTTTAACAGCGACACAGGAACAGAGGCCATTCAGCTCTCATTGAACTTCTTCCCCTGATTTACTGGACCATGGCTGGGTTTGATAATCTCTCCGCCTTACCGTCACCTCCCTGAACACCCTCCCTCTCCCCCTCGCTCTCCCCCTCCCCCTCCCTCTCCCCTCGCTCTCCCCCTCCTCACCTCCCCTCGCTCTCCCTCTCCTCCCCTCGCTCTCCCCCTCCCTCTCCCTCTCCCCTCGCTCTCCCTCCCCCTCGCTCTCCCCCTCGCTCTCCCTCTCCCCCTCGCTCTCCCCCTCTCCCCTCCCTCTCCCTCTCCCCCTCCCTCTCCCTCTCCCCCTCGCTCTCTCCCTCCCCCTCGCTCTCCCCTCCCTCTCCCTCTCTCCCCCTCCCTCTCCCTCTCCCCCTCCCTCTCCCTCTCCCCTCCCCCCCTCGCTCTCCCCCCTCTCCCTCTCCCCCTCTCTCTCTCTCTTAAATATTCCAATTAATTTCGCTTGGACGGTCTTCTCGGAACCACTTGTCCCAACGGCTCGCGACCACCTCCCGCGCGAGGCAGCACTTCGTGGCCGCCCTTCCAACGGCCCCTCCGCCCCTCCCCCCCCCCACACCCCTCCCCCTCCCCTCCAGCCCGGGGCCCCCCCACACCCCTCCGGCGCACGTCCCGCGTCACACGCCGCCCACGGACCCGGTAACTCGGACTCGTCCCGAGATACTCCGGTGCGGGCGCCCTCCGCGCGGACCGAGGCAACGCCGGGGGGGGGGTCCCGATCATCCATCGGTCATCCCCCCCCTCACCATCTACTGACCCCCACCACACTCAGCGGTTTCTCACTCCCCTCTTACCCCCTCTCTCTCTCTCTCCCCCCGGGGTGCGGTGCGGTGCGGTGCGGGTACCTGTGGCCCGGCAGTCGGCGCAGTGCTTGTTTCCCGGCTGCTGCAGGAGGCCGCTCAGCACCGCCTGGCGCTGCTCATTCAGCCGCTCAGCTCGTTCCCGCTCCCAGCGCGTCGCCATCTCCCGACTCCCACTCCCGCTCCGGCTCCCGGTCCCGTCCCGACCCGCGCGGCCCCGCAACCACTGCCCCCGGACCCGAACCCCCGGACCCGAACCTCCGGCTCCGCCGCGCTCCCGCCTCCCGCTTCCGGCAGCTTAAAGGGGAAGGGCCACAGGGCCAACGCTTAAAGGGGAAGGGCCACAGGGCCAACGCTTAAAGGGGAAGGGCCACAGGGCCAACACTTAAAGGGGAAGGGCTACAGGGCCAACGCTTAAAGGGGATGGGCCACAGGGCCAACGCTTAAGGGGGCAATGCCACAGGACAGCGCTTAAAGGGGAAGGGCCACAGGGCCAACGCTTAAGGGGGCAATGCCACAGGACAGCGCTTAAAGGGAAGGGCCACAGGGCCAACGCTTAAGGGGGCAATGCCACAGGACAGCGCTTAAAGGGGCAGTGCCACAGCTCAACCAAAATTCCGCCTTCCGCACGCTCACCCGCACTGAACCCCGTACCCCCGTCACACCGGTTCGTGCCGGGCTACACTCGCTTCCTATCGCCGAACGGGTCGATTTCAAGATCCTCACCCTCGTCTTCAAATCCCTTCATGCCCTGGCACCTCCCTGCCTCTCCGACCTGCTCACCCCCCAACCCCCAACCCGCTGCCTCGGCTCCGACCTCCTGCTTGTCCCTCGCGCCCTCCGTTCCACCATTGGTGGCCACCCTTTCAGCCACAACACCCCGAAAGTCTGGACCACTCTCCCGCAATCCCTCCGCCTTGCCCCTTCCTTCCCCATCTTCAGGACGCGCCTGAAGACCGTCCTATTTGACCGTGCAGAGTCCTCTCACCCCTCCCTCCAGCTCGGCGTCGGGCTCCGCCACTGTCAAGCGCTCTGGGACTCTCCCCTGCGTGAGGGGGTGCATATCAATGCAAGTTGTTGTTGTGCCACAGGACAGCACTTAAAGGGACAGAGCCCCACCAGCGCAGTGGAGTTCACTGAGTGGCAACTTGTGCATGGGGTGAAGGGGGAGCATTTAAAGAGGTCCCCAGCCAGTGGGGTATGGAGGGCGCCTAATGGTACAGCCTGTTCACTGCCCACAAGGAAGGGCGAGCAAACAATACAATAAAATAATTATAACCATTCATTTCATACAGCATCTCATCACGTCATCAAAACATCTCACATTGCTTCACAGGGTTTACTGTAAACTGTGTATATTTGTTGGCAAATTTGCTTCCATAGAGATAGTCCTGTAGTTTAACGGTTAGGGCACTCGCCTCACAAGCGAGAGGACTCGGGTTCAATTCCCAGACAGGGCGAAAGGTTAGGCAAATTTCCTTACTCCACATATCTCTGTTTACTTAGCAGTAAATATGAAGCTGACTGTTAGTTGATTGGCAGATCACTTTTCCGGGGGTAATATTCGTTTTAAAAAAAATTGTAATTTGATGACTCAATCCACTCAATGTTCGTGGGACGCTGCTGTGCACAATTTGCTGCCGCTTTTCGCCCACAAAATATACAGTCAATTCACTTTCCAGTGTATTCTGTGAAGCGCTTTGAGACATCTCGAAGACGTGATAAGGCGCTGTATCAAATGCAGGGATTACTATTAATATAATAATTTGTCAGGTAGCTTATTGGGATTTCTGATTGAGTGACAGTACACTCCTGATAAAATGCAATACTATAGACACTGTGTTTAACAATTCATTCCATTCTAATAGTTGTGTGTGTGTGTCTCCGAATCAACCTCTATATGTTTATATGTTTACACTGGGTAAAAGGAGCAAATCACTCCTGTTGGTGCTGCACAGCTTGTGTGTGTCTCAGTGTTAACTTGTGCTTATACAGTACGCATCAGGGAACAGGAAATAATTAAATCCCATCTGGTACTGTGCCACTCAACTATCTGTATGAGGCCCACTTAGCCTCTGCTATGCCATCAAATCAGATTAGATCCAAAGCTTAATTTCATTACATTCTGACAGACCAATGCGGTGCTGGTGTACAACGCTGCATTATCAGAGGTGCCGTCCTTTGGATGAGGTCCCATCTACCTGTTCAGGTGGACCTTAACGATTCCATGGCACGTTTGGAAAAGAGAAGGGAGTTTTCTCCCAGTGGCCTGGCCACCCTCTCCCCCCTCCCAGGAACATTGGAACAAAAGTAGGTCATTCAGCTGCTTGAGCCTGTTCTGCCATCCTATAAGATGATGGTTGATCTGTACCTCAACTCCAATTGCAGGCCTTTGCCCCATATCACTTGATACCCTGATCTGGCAAACATGAATCCTCCTCAGACTTAAAAGTTTGAATGGATCCAGCATCCACAGCCTTTTGGGGGAGAGAGTTCCAGATTTCCACTACCTTTTAGGTGATAAACTGCTTCCTGATTTCACTCCTAAATGGCCCAGCTCTAATTATAAGATTATGCCCCCTTTGATCTGGATTCCCCCCCCAAAATAAATAGTTTCTCTGTAGCCACTCTATCAAATCCCTTTATTATTATGAAAACCTCAATTAGATCACCCCTTAACCTTCTAAACTCAAGGGAATACAGACCAAGTTTATGCAACTGGTCCTCATAATTTAACCCTTTAAGCCCTGGTATAATTCTGGTGAATCTGTGCTGCACCCCCTCCAGAGCCAATATATGCTTAGTCAGTCAGCTGTGGGGACTGAGAGAGGTTAGATCTATCTAAGGGTAGCAGTCAAGGTAAAGCCCAAGTATCCTCACTTCTTCCTGTAATGATTATTATTCTTTGTTCAAGCTTCTGTATCAATCTACCGACTGTGGTTATCTGTGGACTCAGCCAATAAAGATTTCCAGTGGAAATCTATCAAGCAAGTCAGCCTTCATAATTACAATTGGTCTCGAAATTGCGCGGGGAATGTGATTTCTCTGTGAGAATGTACTCTGGGGAGTCCTGTAGCTCAGTGGTTAGAGCTCTCACCTCTCAAACAAGAAACCTGGGTTCGATTCCTGGCAGGGTGAACCCTTGGGCAGGTTTCCTTACTCCACACACCTGATAATAATCCCTCAAGAAAAAAAAACAATAATAAATTGGTCACTTCAATCCACTGCTGTTTGTGGGACACTGCTGTGTGCAGTTGGCTGCCGTATTTTGCCCACACAACAGACAGTCAAATCACTTTACAGTCTATTCTGTGAAGAGCTTTGAGACGTCGCAACGACATGATAAGACACTATGTCAAATGCAAGGATTATTATTATTAGAATCCCAGGCCAATCGCCTTTTGGTCCTCTTCTTGGTTTTATTCCTTGGGACATCCTCCTGACGCTCTACACAAATGCACTTTGTTGTTGTTGTTTATTCCCCTCTCATACTCCTGCCACTTATAAACGCTTAAATATGAAGTCCTGGCCTGCTCCTATTGCTTGTACTATCTACTGTTCAGACTGTGCATTTCCAGCAGTTTACTTTTTGCTCAGAGGCATTAAATTTACCGTGGTGTTAAACCTCAAAATCATTGCCTTCAAATTTAAGATGCTATAGGAAAAAAAATTGAAAACAATCTTGAAATCAGTCTCAATTTGGATGCCAGTTTTCTGCATTTGTTTGTTGGAAAAGATGGAAAACTGCTTCTAAATTAAGACTTAATCTTCAATTTGAAGACTGTGGGTAACGGCGTTAAAAATTAAATCATTCACTAAATAGTAGACTTCCTTGGGCTTCCCTTCAATCCACCTTCACGTCTCCCACTGATAGGGCATGTAACTTGTCAATCCTTGACTTTATTCATGTTAATAAGATCTCTCACCTATTCCCTCCCCTTGGGAGATGGTGGGAGTCAATGGATGTGCAGTGTGCGTGGCTTGATTCATATTAATGAGCTGTCTCACCTTATCCCTTCCCCCTGGTTGAGTCGCTGACCCACAGAGAGCCTCTGTGCCTGGATTTGGATTGCCTGTGTAGTCAGGGCAGGCTGCAGAGGGAGGTCCCGGGTTGCCTGCTGTCAACCAGGGAAGAACTTGTAGATTTGTCCTCTCTCCAGCCCGAGGATCTCAGCATGGCTAGCCTCTCTGGTGTCCGGCTCCCTCCTGGACTTTTCCAGCTAGCAGTTCTCTTACAAGTCATCTGCCTGTGCCTAGCTCAAGTAAGTTCATCCAAAACAGAGTAACTGACCTGTTCTCTCTCTCTATCTCTCTGTGGCTGTGTGAGAGAGCTTGGCATATCTGGGGTTAAAAGAATACTCAATCTGCTGTGTATTGCAAACTTTTTTATGTTCTGTGAAATGATTTAACTTGTTTTGTAAGAAGATTTCGAAGCATATGGTTTGACACATGAATCCAATTTTTGTGCTGTACAAACATATCTTTCTTTTTAAAACTTAATCTCAACAAAGTGTCACCTTAGTTCTGAAGTTTATAACTGTTTTATTATTTCCCCAACTGCATCGGTTATAGTTTTATAACGAATGCAGTCGGGAAAATAATAGTAATCATCATACTAATATGAATCAAGACGCGTCTGGGTAATTGGACAAACGTGAAATGTCAATGTTTACACTGAAGTTAGAAGTTTTAAGGGGTTTGTTTAATGCAAACTGAGAAAGAGTTGTTACAGTCCCCATCCATCAATCGCAGCTCTGTGGGACATTTTAACAGCCTTTGCCATTTCATTGACAATAGTTAAATGTTACTTTCGTCCAAAGTGAAATACAATGAGATGCTATATATATATAGATATATATATAGATTATAGATATAGATAGCTTCCACGCCCTTCTGTTAACTGTACCTTGACCTAATTAAAGTTGAGAATACATGATTTAATCAGGATAAAATGAGGAATTGTCACGAATCAAACCAAACTGAGCTTTATTCATTCGCAAGGGAGAGATGTTGCAGAGGCTGGGAATGTGGGGGAGAGTTTATTGGGACAAAGCCCCTATTGAGTGTGTGGTGCTGAGATCCCAGTTTAACTTGGGACAGTCTGTGCAAACACAGCTCGCGTTTTAAAAAAAAGGTCGAAAATTTATGCAAACAGTTCAGGAAAGTAGGTTTAAGTACATTAAATTACATTAAATTACATAGCAAATGTGATTTTGGTAAAAAATGTCAGTACATTTCAGAGTGGGTTAAAGTTGTCTGTCAAACCACAGAGAAGACTGCAGAAACTTTTACTTTGCTAAATGTTTAAAATAAAACCTTTCCCCTTTTCAATGTCCTTCTTGTTGGAATAATTGCTGAAATATGCAGAATATTCAGCCCAGCCTGTCCTGTCATTCATCATGCTGGCTCCTTGGACCAACAACCAATACATTAATGACCCGTCTTACCCTGATTTTAACTTGATATATTTAATAAAGCCTAAATTCTAATATTGCCTATTTATTTCTTTATCTATTTATTTATGTATTTGTTATTTCTTCCTTGTATTTCTGTATTTCCTAGAGTCCTAAAGGTGCCCGTGGTCCAGTGGGACTCCCAGGCCCAGCAGGTTTTCCTGGTTCAGATGGAATAGATGTGAGTGGGGTTGTGTTCGACAGAGTTTACACAGGAGTTGGACAAAGAGCCACATTGTCCTCACTTCCCAGCTTGTGGGATTTATGGCCAAACGCCACTGGCATTAAACTACCGACAGTGGGCACTGCAACGCAGCCACAATAGAGGGAGCTGCTCTGTCTCAACCAAGGGACAAAAGAATTGCCTTTAATAACAATAATAGTAATCCTTGCATTTGATACAGCGCATTTGACTATCACGCCATCGAGACGTCTCAAAGCGCTTCCACAGGATGGTACTGTAAAATGAATTGACTGTATATTTCGTGGCCGTATCGTGGCAGCCAATTGCAATTTAGTGTGCCACAGACAGTCGTGGATTGAGTGACCAAACTATTATTATCATAATTATTATTTTGATATTAAAATTATATAATATCTTTGTGAAAAACAATCACAGTAAAGGCACGACACTAAATGCGCTTTAATTTCTGCAGATGAAGTTTAGATGTTATTCAATCATTCCAATCACGATGGCTATTTAAACAGAAAGCCAATGGGAAATGCAAGCAGCATGCAGACTGGTGTATTGTAATGTAATGGACAATGGAATCATAGAATTATACAGCACAGAAGGAGGCCATTCGGCCCATCGTGTCTGTGCCGGCTCTTTGAAACTAGCTTTCCAATTCAATCCCATTCCCCTGCTCTCTCCCCATAGCCCTGCAAACTTGACCTTCCCAAATAATTATCCGCTTCTCTCTTAAAAGTTGTTGTCAAGTCGGCTTCCACTACCCTTTCAGGCGGTGGGATCCACCACCATCTTTAGCAAGTCAAACTCCACCCAATTTATAGCTCTCAGTCTTGTAAATACCAAATAATGAAATTGTAAATGTATTACAAACTCAAAGCGTAATGCAAAGTTTCCTATAACATTGCGTAAGGATATCTAAATGAGCCGTGAAACTGAATAACAATTATCGCTCTCTGTATATGTGCAACACCAGATGTGCGAGCAATGATAATTAAGTGTTCAGTAGTATGGCATATTATACCTTTAAACGGTGTTCGGTTGCTAAAAAGAATATTTTGACAGTCTAAAAGAACATTTTTCTTGCCGTTTTAACAAAATTTGTGTTTCCTTCCTCAGGGAGAGCCAGGGCCACTGGGCATACCTGGTCCAGCAGTAAGTGTCTCTTCTCTCTCAGTCCTCAAAGTAATATTTTAAACTTTCTTGCATCTTAAGGTTTATGTTTTATTAAAAACAGAAAATCTGCTCGATATTTTCAGGGTGCAAAAGGTGACCTGGGTGAACCCGGTCCAGCTGGATCTCAAGGCGATGCCGGACTCGATGTGAGTGCATCTAGGATTTTTTTTCTAACGTTTAATGATTTCTTGCTATTCTTGCTGCTAAATCTCAAACTTTGCCTTAACTTGCCTGCAGAAAGGAATATAAACTCCGCTTAATAATATATGATTATTTGCATTTAATACGTAGTTCTGTCATGTTGGAAAAGCCTCAAAGTGGCTACATATCTCTGCACAATATGGCTTTGAAGTTAATTGCTGGGCTTTCAGCAATGGCTTACGTTGAAGGAGCTTTTTTTTTGAAAGAGCGATGGATTCATTGGATTATAAGTGTAATACATTTTATACTGGAGTCTGCGCATATTTTGATGTGTGCCAAATACTGGGAATATCGCTTGGAGTCTGGACTCACCCCGAGAATGTAACAAATACTGTGAGTAACACCTGGACACTGCATATACCCGAGTGACTGCATATTCCTTGGATGCTGTGGAGAACATTTGGAGACTGAATGTACCATATTCCAGCCATAATGCCTGGCATCTGCGTATAACATGCCTGGACTTTTGCCCACAAAATACACAGTCAATCCACTTTACAGTATATCCTGTGAAGCGCTTTGAGATGTCTCAATGACACAATAAGGTGGAATATCAAATGCAAGGATGGTTATTATTATTATGATACATAATCATATTACATATATTGTAATATACAGGGAATATTGCCTGGATTCTGCTTGTGCAATATACATAGAGTAATGTTATGCAACAAATGAGGCCTTGCCCTGGTTGCAGATTGTGAGGAGATCATTTTAATGACATTGCCATGTGCATGTTGACATTTTACTGGCCTAGTTAATAAAATGTGATAGACTTGAGGGATCAGCGGTAGGTTATTATTGTTTATAATAATAAATTTGACCTGACCCAACTGTACAGCGCCTTGTTGTTGTTGTTGTTGTTGTTGTTATAGTGTGCCAGCTGATTTGGAACTAGGAACAGAAACCAAGTTAACTTAAGTCTTCTGATGAGGCCAAACCGAGAGGGGGTGGTAAACAGACATGTCAAGTGCAAGTAATTTTTTTTAAAAAAAAAGCTAATGAAAGAGATTTTCACATTATTATCAATTTTTTTAAATCAACAAAATTTGCATCATTTGGATTTGTTAACAATAATAGTATCTTGTTGGTGTCACTCAACTAATAAGCAAGAGCCAGTGAATAGATTGGTCTCAGGCTAAAAGCTAATTATTTTTATCATCTTCGTAGTAACAGGTATATTGTACATGCTCTTTATACAATTTCTTCTGCAGTCATATAGTCATAGATCAAACTAAGATTTTGCCTTAAAACACGAAATGGAAAGTTTTAAAGATAATGGAATGGATGTGTTCATCTCACAATATGGGATAATAATACTAATAATAATAATCCTTGCATTTATATAGTGCCTTATTACGTAGTTGAAACACTTCAAAGGTGAATGCAGCAATCAATTGCACACAGCAGTGTCCCTCAAACTGCTATGAAGTGATGACCAATTTTTTCTGGAGGATTGTTGGTTATAATACTGAGAGAAACTCCTTTCTGTTTACAAACAGTGCCATAGGAACTTTAACATCCACCTGAACAGACATACATTATTTTAACATCTCATCCACAGAACGGCACCTTCAAAAAAATGCAACACGTTCGAGTGTCATAGCCTAGACTATGAGCTCAAAGTCATTACATGGGACTCGAACCCATACCCCACTGACTCAAAAGCAAGAGTAATACTAACCAAGCCAGGCTGACACCTGACAGAGGTGCATTTCATTTCAACCTTCAGGGTTTCTGAACGTGCATAAACTTATTTTACATCTGCAGTTGGCAAATCTGTCATTGTCTACAAACTCTTGAGGATTTGCTCAATCAAAGATGGTGGCTGTTGCCATGGCCTGTGACCAAAGGAGAGAGTATCACAGCAGCAGTAACGAACCCTCAAGTTCCCCAGCTCGACGCAAAACTGAAAATGTACAGATATTACACATGATGGATAATCACAGCAAAGTATGCAACTTGGTGTCGTTTATGAAGTATTAATTTCAAAATGCAGACTTCCATCATTGCTTGTCATCTCTGGAGACCTCATTAAACCCACCCTAAGATAAAGGTCTGTTCTGTACCTTAACGATAGCTGGCAGGCTTCTCAAATGAAACATTTCTGTGCGATTCAAGATCTGAAGAGAGCACTAGATATGACGGAATTGCCATGATTTACACTGAGAGTATGCAGAGTGAAAGCATTACCTGACAAAGAAGAATATTTATACTCGTCAGTGAAGACCTGAGGAAAAAAAAGGGAACAGAAAGAATCAACAAATGGAAGAATTTCCACTTCTTCAAGAAGATAATTTCTCACTTTAAGAAAGGGGAATTTGATGAGTAATTGAGCCACCGAGTGAGATATGCTACTAACAGCTCCCTGTAAACCTGCAAAATGCCTCTTCATCTATAAGAAGCCTTTCCAGTTTTTGTGCAAATTAACAACAGCAACAACAAGATTTCATTTATAGAGCGCCTTTCAAGTGGAGAGGATGTCCCAAGGCGCTGGACAGTTGGGTCAGGACCCAAGCAGGGGGGAAATGGTCAGGGTGAGGGGAGGGAAGGGAGGGAGCGAGGAGGGGGGAAATGGTCAGGGTGAGGGGAGGGAAGGGACGGAGCGAGGAGGAGGTAGAGAGTCGAGAGGGGAGCTGAAGGCACGGTCAAAGAGAAAGGTCTTGAGACCGGCCTTGAAGGAGGAAAGGGAGGAAACAAAGCGAAGGCACTGGGGGATGGAGTTCCAGAGCCTCGGGGCTGAGAGGCTGAAGGCCCGGCCACCGATGGTAAGGCGGTTGGGGTGGGGGATGTGGAGCAGACCGGAGCCAGAGGAACGGAGGGTACGGGCAGGTAAGTAGGGGGATAGTAGGTCAGAGAGGTAGGAGGGAGCGAGGCCGTGAATGGCCTTGTATGTGAGGATGAGGATTTTGAATTCGATCCTCTGGGGGATGGGGAGCAGTGGAGGCGAGCGAGGGTGGGAGTGATGTGGGCGCGGTGTCTGGTGCCGGACAGTACACGAGCTGCAGAGTTCTTAATGACCTGCAGTGTGGAGGGAGGGCCGGGAAGGCCGGCGAGGAGAGAGTTCCCATAGTCCAGCCTTGAGGTGACAAAGGCGTGAACCAGGGTTTCAGCCGCGTGAGGGGTGAGGTAGTGCCGTAGTCTGGCGATGTTTCGGAGGTGATGGAAGGCGGTGCCAGTTGTGGCGCAGATATGAGGGAGAAAGGACAACTCAGGGTCGAAGAGAACCCCGAGGTTCCTGATGGCTTTGAGAGGTGGAGAGTGCAGCCTTGGATGCTGATGGTGTCAGCGCCTGAGGTGCGGAGGCGCTGACGTGAGCCAATCAGGTGGGCCTCAGTTTTATGCACGTTGAGCTGAAGAAAGTTGTCTCTCGTCCAGGACTCGATGTCAGACAGGCAGGCTATGGGCAGCACGGAAACCCGACTGAAGGGGTTCGAATAGTGCATAGGTGGAGAGGAAAGAGCGCAGCTGGGAGGCGACAACTCTTTCAAGGACCTTGGACAGGAAGGGGAGGTTGGAGATGGGTCGGTAGCTTGATAGCTGCGACGCATCAAGGGAGGGTTTTTTCAAAGTGGGAGTGATGATGACAGTTTTTAGGGGAAAGGGAACAGGTTGATGATGTCTGTGATATGTGGGGCAAGGAGGTGGAACTGAGAGATAAGGAGTGGAGTGGGGATGGGGTCAAGGGAGCAGGTGGTGGGTTTCATGGATAGGATGCGTTTGGTGACAGAGGGTGGGGAAACGGGTACGAAGATGTGTAGGGGAGGATGGGTAGGAGTCAGAGTGTGGGAGGGAAGGGGTGGGGAGTGGGTGGAAGTTGGAGGGGGAGTGACCGCGGAGCGGATTCCAAATTAAACTGTGCAGATTGAAGAATCAAGGCTTGTTACGATCAGATGTCAGTCAGTTTGTGGCACTTTAATTGTCTCTGAGTCAGAAAGAATGGGGTTCAACCCCCAAGACAAGACTATGAATTTGGAGTATAGACTGAGTCTCCAGTTCAGTGGTGGGAGAGGATGGTTTGTCAGATCCGCTATCCTTGAGATGAGGCATTAAACAACGCTACCATCTGCATGTTTAGGTGATCGTTATAGATCCCTGGCCAACAATCCCCATGTGTAAAAAGAAAATGCTCATTCACTTCAAGGCTAATGCACCCTCACTACGCAGAAAGACATCTATGTGACAAAGCCCTAAAACAAAATGTATTGGATTACATTATTAAAAGTGGCTCTACATCGGAAGACTGGATATGTAACTGGGATTGAGGCAAGGAGTTCCAGAGATTCGGGGGACTGTGGCTGAAAGCTTGGCTGCCAATTGTGGAGCAGAGGGGATGAGAATTGAGCCAGTTCCTGGCTGTGAAATCAATGCTAACTGTCAGACGTTTGTGCCTGAATCGTAGAACTGTCATGGACATTGGTGTGAGAAACAGAAATATACTGGTTTAGTAGGAGGCGCTCTTTTTATGTTGAAGCATGTTGCACAGTATAGGGACCTTTCTCCAATATTTCACCTGTGCACAGCCATCCATCAGATTGCTGGATACTAAAGTGATTAATTACCATAAGACCACCCATGGTCCATTGATAGTTTCAGTGCAACCTTTTCATTCAGCAGATTATCTCGGAGAGAATGAAATTGGTAATTGTGATGTCCTTAATGTGCTTAATCTTTTCTCGTGCAGGGTGTAGAAGGTTCAAAGGGAGAACCAGGTGGTCCTGGAGGTATGGGTGCTAAGGTGAGTATGATGCACTTACCTCGTTGATCCTTTGTGTAACCAATATCTTGAACTGAGATGGATGAGTCTAAGAACATGGTTTGGATAGCATGTAACGCTTCAACATCTACAATGATACCTGCCAGGAAGCATGGGATAGAGAATGCTAAGGCAATGCACCAGCATGTAATAACAATTGGACGTTGCTGTGGAGTTCCATAGGGAGATGAGACTCAAATGATAATATATCACTGGTGTGTGGAATTGAGGTCCTTGGCGGAGCTACAGTCTATTACACAGGAAGATTTTAATATCTTCATCTGAATTTGATTAAGAGTTGATAGGGATCCACAGATAGTGAAGATTTGAAACAACTGATTTACGTGAACTTGTAAAGGCATCAATTTAAAATAGTGAACAAGGGAACAAAGGGAGAGAATAGAGATTGTTCTTTACACAGAAAGTTGTAGGACACGGAATGCCCTTCTGGCTGCAGCGGTCAAGGCATGATCCATATTCGCTTTTAAGAGGAAAATAGATAGATATCTAAAGATGAATAAACTGCAGAGGCATTGGTTAAAGACAGAGGAATTGATTATTTTGCCAAGGAGCCAGCAAAAGACATGATGGGGCCCAATCGGCCTTCTTCTGTGCTGTAATATTTTATGGTTCTATAGTGTGAAGTGTTTCATTTGAATTTATGACCTGTAATGTGAATTAACTTGTGAGATTTTTTTAGGCTTTTCTCACAACAGTTGATTGTGTATTTATTGGTGTAAAACACCAACACAAAGGAATTTATGGCAACTACATTCACAACCTGTGGGAGTTGGTTTCTTAGAAAGGTTCAGAGAGGAAAATTGGACAGACCGTTTGCACACTGGCCTTTGACCTCTGGGACTTGGGTTGAATAATGCCCAGACCGGGAAGATGAGAATCTCCTCATAGTACCAAAGGCCAACAGTGGAATGAGCTTGGTCAATCCTCACCTATTTCTGACTGAACATAAACCTGCCAGTAATTTGGTACTCAATAACGTAACAGTGACAATGCTGTTCTAAGGGCCACAAAGATGGTGTGGACTAGAAATACAGTATCATATTCACTCAGTAGGGGGCACTCTTCTTAAATTGGCATTACATGTCATGGTTGAGGCAGAGTACTTTGCATAAACTATATCTGATGCTTATTGTATCCCAATGTTCCTTCCGGATAGGAAATTCTTCTGTTTGCAAAATATCTCTAATTGTAATAGCACAATAAAATACAAGGCTTGAGATTTCACATATTTTATCTCCGATACCCCCTCCATCTATGAATAAAAGTGATGATGAGATATCTGACAAGAGACTTTTACTTATGCAGCACCTTTGATGTAGAACAAACAGTTTCAAGCCCATCACAGAGATGATGAGGGACATCAAACAGAGAGAAATCAGAATTTAGTGGTGTTGATCAAAGGCACAGAGAGATTTTTAAAAGAGGTTTGAAATCAGGGAGGCGGATTAGAAGGGGGTTGAAATATTATAAGGTTGATAATTATGATAATAGGAATAATCCTTGCACTTGATACAGCACCTTATCATGTCTTACTTAAGAGTGCCCAGGTAAAAACATGCAGCTTGCCAGACAGTGATTTCAATAGCAAGGTGTGCCCCCCAAAAAATTGCCATTGACTTTACAAGTGCTAGAATCGTTGGAGTCGCCAACTGGGTTTGAGTCTGCAGTATAAATCCACCTGTAATTTACTGTAAATCAGAAACAAATTCGGTGTTATCACTGGAAGAAATCAGAGGGATGATATAAACATTCTAACCCGGCATGTGACTATTTTGCCATGTGTGGTTAGTGAGGCTCAGAACATCAACAATATTTGCAAGGAAATGGGTAAACATTTGTAGAGGAAGAATATAAAATGGTGAGAGAAAAGAACTGGGGTTTAAGGTTAGAGTCTTGCAATTAGCTACAGGGAAGGAGGTAGCAACAGTGTAGGCTTGAAGGTTTGGATGTCTCCTCTGGCACTTTAATTTCTATGACATTGTAAGAAATAATGAATATGACTGAGAAATTGGGGTTTGGATCTCCATTATAGAATCAAGACATTTCTTAAAGTCTAGTGTCCTGTCCTCTACCACCTTTCCTGATGACTGGCTCCAGCTGATGATGACTTTTGTTGAAAAAAAATGCTTCTTGATGTCAGGGCTCTTCACACCCCTGAACCTGTGCTCTCTTGTTTTCTTGTATAGTTATTCTCTGTGATATTTGGATTCAGAACTGTATTCATTTCATTGAGTGAACTCATGAGAACTCCCCTTCAATGCGCTCCCTCCCCCTCCCACCCCATTAACCCCATCAAGCACAGAACCAACAACCGATGATGAAAATGGCACCTGCCCATTATATGAAATTGCTTTAAGAAATGCCTTGATTCTCTATGGGGGTCCCAAACCTCAGATGTCCTCAGAATGGCATTACAATTTCTCAGTCATATTTATTATTTCTCACAATGTTGCTAGTTCCTAGTTGTTCTAGGCAGGACATCAACCAATCAGAAGTACTGAACAGCGAGGACCTTCTCCTGATTTCCTGATTCTGGGTGCCTTTCCTGTGCCTATCACCATATTGCCAGTTAGGTTGCTCACTGATATTACCCCAAATCCTAACAAGGGTGACTGAAGGCACACAAAGCGATTTGGGGAGGAATTATTTCAGAAATCATTTCTTGTTAGAATTTCTGCCATTATTAGGCCAATGATTTGCTGTCAGTGGACAGGAGGCAATAACAATTAATTTGACTGTCTACTGAATTGCCATACAATCACACATTCCTGAAAACCTTTTGGATTATATTATTCTGGAGTCAATATCTCTGAAATTTTCACCCCGCTGCTCCGTAGGATCCCTTCCGCCTAAGCAAACTCCCCCTCCCTATCCTATCAATCATTGCAGAAAAGGGAGACAATTTGGGCAATTTTATAAACATTGCACACATTTCCCTGTGGGAAACTTAGGTTTTATTGGATGCTTTCTCAAGCAGCACGGTAAAAAACACAACAAAGCGACCATTTATAAAGATATGTTGAAATTATTACCCAAATCCTGACATTTATATAGAAGCATATGTAAAATTTTACCACGTTGCATTGGATACTGTACTGTGCTGTTACGACACATGTCAAGTTAAAAAGGCAATGTAATGTTATTGAAGGAAGCTTACTCCAGTACAGCACAAAATCCTTCCCAACATTAGTCTTTATAACAAGGTATGGTAACCATGGATACTAAACAGTGATGTTAATACTCAGTACCTACCAACAATGCCCAAAATTTCACAATACTTAAAGATTAGAAGAGGAAAGTTAGTATCTGACAGATTTCACAGCTTTAAAAACCCAGTTTCTTTGGTGAGGTGTAACTGCAGGGGTCAGAAATAATTGTTACATTCCAGAAATATTCTGTGTATTGCAGTGGCAATGTTCTGTGAAGCCTTTTGTTATTTTACATGGAATAATCAATCAAGCAAGGGGTCTGTTCAGCTCCTTTGTGTACGGGGGATTATCTGCAGACATGGTTCCTAGTGGAAGCTATGTTTGCTTCTTTCCTCCTGCGAGAATGTGCGATGGTGTCTGTTGCCTCCACTGTGCTGGGGGAAACCATGTCTCCTTATATGTGGCCTCTGTTGCCATTTGCTGTGAAGGATGCCCATCTTACCTGGCACTGGTCAAGGAGGGCAGGTGTCTTTGTCTGTACAGGACAGTGGAGGTGCTTGGTGAAGTAGTCAGTGGCATTGAAGTCCTAGAGGTAAATGAAGCGTTTCTAACTACCATTTGCCTGGTGAACATAGGCATTACTGCCAAAAAAAGACCATGGTCCATCTGGTTTGCCGTCTACCATCTTGGTAGTCACATGCTACAATAATGGGGATGTTGATAGCAATTCATTCTGTATGGCTTAGTGTACAACAGATTGGAAAGCTTTAGGTACCTTAGATCCACAGTTGCCCAGTTCTTCCAAGCCATAATACACTTACTATATGTCATATTTCAAATAACTCCTATACTGAATCCCCAAATATTATTCTCTAAAAGAAACCTGTCCGATTTACATTTGAAGGAATCAGGTTGTGGTGCTTGTTTGGGTCAGTGAAAATAGAATGGTTCCCTGTGTGTGTGTGAGTGTTTGTGTGAGTAGGGAATGGGTGGGGGAGCTGACATTTCTAGCCCCATCATCTTCGTAGCCTGAAGATGATGAGGTCCATTCATGTTCTCTCCCCAGGTAGTGCATTCCAGGGAATGGTGTCAAAACAGGAATGGCTATGTATCAATTTGCAGCCATATGATTCCAAACTTGTTGAAGGTAATTCTGTACACATCCCAAGATTTATTGTGTCTAACAAAGACCACTCCAATATGGACAGCGATTAATTCACTTGATCCTTCTGCCATTGAGATGAGAAATGGTTAATTGATTGGCCACTGGCTTCAAAATGGTTATGATTCCAAATAAAACGAACACTTTCCACTGAAAGTATCCCTGATTTTGACTGTAAAGGTCAGAAATCAATCAATTTGTCAATGTAGAGCAGTAACTGCAAAAATGGATATGCTTATTGTACTTTTATCAGTAACGTTTGTGCTTTGGAAACTGACAAGAGATACAATTCTCACAGGTTCCCTTTGTTTTGTGGGATGTGTCCTGACCAGGTGTATTGTCTGCATACACCAGATATCAAAATGTGATTTAATTGGCATGTGAAAATGTTGTTTTGCACATTCTTAAATGTATGAAAAATATAACTTCATTCTTTAAGGAACATGGTACCAATTGTAAACGCTGTCCACGCCAACATGCTTCAAATTTCTAAAAGAGTTTGGGGCATGTTAATGACTTTGAAATAAAGGAAATTAGGTGTTTAACTTTTTTATCTGGCCTCAAGCGATCTTCCTGGTAACCTGTACCAGTTATTAATTACCAGCTAGATAAAGCAATACCTTACGCTAATCTGTTCTGGAAATACCCTT